ATATACATATATATACATATATACATATATATGCACATATACATATATATACATATATACATATATATGCATATATACATATATATACATATATGTACATATATACGTATATATATTTACATATAGGTAGTGCAAAGCAAAAATTGTGCTAAATATGAACTAAAGGTAATTATATAAACAGTATAAACAGTTCGGAAGTGTGTTGAGATAAACTATAAGGTAAACTATATAGGTAGAAATATAAACAGTATGGGAGTGACAAATGTAACAGGATGGAATACATATATATATATAAACAGTATGAAGTGATGAATGTAAACAGGAATAAATAAATGAGCTGGAGCTGGTTCACAGAAATGGAACAGGAAATATTGCACAGTTATAATTATACACTTGCTTTCCATTAAAGGACAGATTGTGACAGACTGCAGCAAATGCTTGTTGTTCAATTGATTTTTTATAGTTCTTTGTCTTTTAAATGTAAAGGCCTAACATTATAAATCCTATCTACCATTGTTTCAAAGGACGTATCATTTGAACTGGTTCTGATGTGAAACATAAAAGGCTATGCTAAATAGTTAGTACAAGGTAGAATGATTGATTTTAGAAACATTTCAGATAAAACCAACCGTCTACTTATTTTAATGCAGCACATTATGGTTGCTGCTGCCGTCCATGATATTATTTCAATTGAACTTTTCTAGTTAGTTATTGGTTATAGCAATACATTTAGTTTTCCCTACGTGTTTGACATAGCCTGACTTGGCGTTTCTCACCTAATGACTAATTGACATTTGGATTAGATTGACCTTTAAAATAACTAGATCCTTAAAAGAATGATTGCACAAAAAAAGGACATGTTACACCTGACAACAGGACGTACTGTAGGGTTGGCTTGATACAACTGTTCAATGTCCGATATTGATACTGCAACTTCCCCACATGCTGCAGGCTGCCTTTGCTGACGTGATAGTGTCCCAGTTAAGTTGAGCATTTGGGATTAGGTATCTGATCCAACCGCCTTTATTTATTTATTTATTTTTTTTAATGTTTGATTCAAAAATTTTGACCAATGTTGAACCAATACTAATCCTGAGTATCGGATCAGGCCATTCCTAATATATACATACGTATACTAAAATCGGTGTAATGCTTTTAGTTGATTCCTTCCAAACACAGACATCGATTTATTTTCTCTATATTATCTTCACCTTTACAAACACAGACATCGATTTATTTTCTCTGTATTATCTTCCTTTACGTCCTTCCTAGCTAGCACCCGACGACGCATGGCGATGTCCTCACTGTAAGCAGCTTCAGCAGGGCAGCATTAAGCTAAGTCTGTGGACTTTGCCTGACATCCTCATACTGCATCTGAAACGCTTTCGACAGGTAAAAATCCACGCATATATAAAGATGCTCGTTGTAAACATAATCCTAGTCTGAGACAATTTGGTTCCATCCTTTAGGATGGGGATCGCAGGATGAAGATGCAGAACATGGTCAAATTCCCACTCACTGGTATGGACATGGCTCCGCACATGGTAAAGAGAAGCCAGAGCAGCTGGAGTCTCCCTTCGCACTGGTCGCCATGGAGACGGCCATACGGGATGGGTCGTGATCCAGAGGACTATCTCTATGATCTTTACGCTGTGTGTAACCACCACGGTACCATGCAGGGTGGACATTACACAGGTAAAAATCACGGAGACTGAAGGTCTTTATTATCTGTGGAATACCGTAATTTCCGGACTATGAGCGCACCTGAATATAAGCCACACAAACTAAATTTTAAAAGAAAAGAAAATAATTGTACATATATACGCCGCACTTCTGTATAAGCTGCAGGTGTCCATGTTATAACATGGGATATTTACACATTTTCACTTTTAATTAAATAAATGCTTTTTTCCGAACAGTGCCTGGAACACTGCAGGTTACACGTTAGCTCTTTCCTGCTCCGGTGGCCCGACCGTAGTTGGAATGAACAGGGGAGACTTAGTGATCAGCTCCAGGGCTGAAGCTAACATTAGCTAGCTAAGGGCTAACTCCCTTCACTTTGTGCTTGTCCGCAGCAGAGGTAAAAACAGAAACAGGGAAGTTGGGGGTCTTTATTATCAGCCACACCGACCACAACAACAGAACATAAACAATGTTTTAACAGCTCCTGTATAACCAACTCATGCTTCAACATGACAGGGCTCAAACTGCTCTCAACTCAGAGTCATTCATCGCTAGTGGTATGAACTTCGTTAGCCCGTAAAAATCCATAAATTAGCCGCAGCATTGTTAAAGCCGCATGGTTCAAAGCGTGTGAGAAAAGTAACAGCTTATATAGCGGAAATTACGGTAATGCCGTCTTCACTAGTTTACACCACATTACTCCGCATTTACTTGCAAAGCATTGCATGCTCACTCTTCCATGAATGCACATCAACATTAAAATGAGGGAAATTAACTAAAAAAAAACAAACAAAAAAAACATGACACATATGATCACATGATGGGATTTTGTCAGTTTAGCAAGTAGAATCTCAAGTTGAAAGTTAATGTGAACAGAAGTGGATTTTACTATGGACAGTGCTACAGAACTACAGTGTACTAATGAATACGGGAGTCAATGTGGGAGTTTGAAAACAGTGTGTGAGAATAGGAGCCTAATATCTGAGCTAAAATGTTTGGATCTGTGGTGTTCTGTGGTGAATTAGGTCAAATGTCATTGTTGTAAATGTAGAACCAAAAAGGACAGACTTAGGAAAAAAAGTTTATGTTGTTTGATGTAACAACAACGTTAATGCTCTGGCAACACGGTGTGGCAGACAGAAGTCAGAAATCTGAAGAAGTGACAAGGCAAAAAGCAAAAGCAAAAAGACATGTTGTGGCTTTACCGACTACCATATTTTCCTGACTATAAGTCGCACTTTTTTTTTTTCATTTTTGACTGGGTTTGCGACTTGTGCTCATGTGTGACTTATATATTAAAGTATACAATTTCACATTTGCTATTTTCACATTGACAGCCGCTAGAGGGCGCTCTAGGCTTGTTAACTAGTATCTGCTACTCCTGTACCAATGAAAATTTAGATGTTCGATGTTATCATACCTATATAACGACCTATACTCTGGAGCAACTTATATGTGTATTTTTTATTTTTTTTTATGCATTTTTTGGCTGATGCGACTTACAGTCTGGAAAATACGGTTTATGGAATTTTATGGTTCTTGAGACAGGTCACAGCCAGGCTTTTCTAGACCAGTAATTACTGATCAGTGACACTAACAACAAGCATCCAGCAACACACTCAGCTGCAGAAAAAGGGAAGAAGACAAACCAACAAAAAAATAGGAAGTTAATATTGTTAAAGTTAATATAAAGTTAATAT